CCACCTTTGAAGCAAGTGGGCCGACTAGATGCGCATAGAGGTCAGGCACATCATGTATCTGAGCCCAGATGTCCACATAGTCAAGCTTGATCAGGGACGGCTTGGTGACTCCGTCATATGGCACTAGGATCACTGCGTCACCTCGGAAGTTCCAAGGTCCATCTTGCATGACCCGTTCCCAATCTCCTAAACATGTAAATTGCACAGTATACAGATTATCCTCTAAAGGTCTGAACTTTGATTCTTGCGCAATATCCCAGGCAGCTCTCATGTTGCGATAGAACCAAGTCTTGCTGTAGGTTTTATTGGTATTAACCCTAGCAAGGGCGACCCATCTCGCCGCCTCCTGTGGCACCTCCTTCTCATCAAACACAACGTCGTCCAAATCCTCTTCACGCAGCCCCAGCTCCTTCATCATTGCTTCAACATTGCTAACCGCAGATGACCCCGAGGCCCCGGTCGAATCCATGGAGATCACTAACCCGATGTAGATGGATCGGGCCTTTGGTGGAAACCCTAGCGCACCGTCGAACAACCAGGGAGCGGACCAGGAGCGGGTAGCGGTCCCAATGATCACCCCTTGATCGCTCCTCAGTCGTTTCCTGGCTAGATCCGCGAGAGGGAAGAAAACTTCTCGACGGCGGCGAAAATCGCCTCCGGGAGGAGGAAAACCCTAACTTGAGGGAAAACTATCATTTTTTTGCCTTTGATCCACTTGATTTGGCGATTTGTCAGTCGTTCACATGGGGAGCTAGGGATCTGGGCCGACCAGTTTTAGCACTCTAGCGTATATCAGATTTTGGGTAGCGTGTAGCACTAATTTTTTTAAATTACTAGATAATTGCACGTGCGTTGCAACGGAAGTATAAACATTCTAGATTGCACGCCCATTATTATATCGATGCGCTAAAATCATAGCAAATTCTTGTATGCAATCGCCATGATTTACCTGCTATTTTATTGTTAAGCACTTATTTGGTAAGAATTTAATGACTTTTCAAACAAAATTTATTTTTATTTTTGTAAGTTAATAAAACATGAGTTAATTAATTCTATTTTAGGGATAATGTATGGGAGAAAAATTAGAAATGTGAGAAAAAATCAAAGAGGAGATAGAAAGAGTGGAACGTATATAAGGAAGGTTGAACGAAAGAGAGGTGAAATGGGGGAAAAGAATTATATGAGACCAGGTCTCACGGGCTAGCATGTGAGACCCACCTTGATGGATGACATGTGTCATTTACAAATCACAAAGCATCAACCCCACCCCTCACTTGAAATCAGGAGGGAGAGATTATATGCTTTATGATTTGTGAATGTCACGTGTCATTCATCAAGGTGGGTCTCACCTGCTAGCCCGTGAGACCTGATCTCATATAAATTTTTTCCTGAAATGAGAACCTTACGTTCTTTTTAAGTAGTAGTTATATATAAGCATTTTTTTCAAAATGTCACAAACATATTTTTTGAAACCCATGAACATTTTTAAAATGTAATGTACAATTGGTTTGAATGGTGAATTGATTTTGAATTAGACGACATTTTTTTACCTTTTATAAATATTTTCTCAAAATGCTACGTATATTGTTGAAACAGTTAACATGTTTTCACCACCATCTTTTTTAAAGCTATCAACGTTTTGAAAACAAATACGGTAAACAAAAAAATTAAACTATGTTAACATTTTCATATTTGAGGTTTTTGAATTATTGAAAGAGCATTCAGTTTTGAATGTATGTATTTAGAGTTTTTCAAAAATATAAACAAATATAAAACACAAAAAGAAATTAATGAATAAACATAAAAGAGAAATTAAGTAACTAGGAAGTTGGGTCAGCCCAATACTAGCGATTCCGTGGGCGCTTCTTCAGGCTAGACCTTGTTCGGTCTCACATGAAACAATACATAGTTTTGCTCCTTATTATGTCGGATGTTCCTATTTACAGCTCTTTTTTGGTGATTTGTTAGTCATTCACATGGGGAACTAGGGATCTGGGCCGACCAGTTTTAGCACTCTAGCGTATATCAATTTTTGGGTAGCGTGTAGCACTATTTTTTTTAAATTACTAGATAATTGCCCTGCGTTGCAACGGGAGTATAAACATTCTAGATTGCACGTCCATTATTATATTGATGCGGTAAAATCATAGCAAGTTCTTGTATGCAATCGCCATGATTTATCTGCTATTTTATTGTTAAGCACTTATTTGGTAAGAATTTAATGACTTACCAAACAAAATATGTTTTTATTTTAGTAAGTTAATAAAACATGAGACAATTAATTCTATTTCTATATCTATATCTATACTACTCTATAGTGTACGAGTTTTAAATGTTTGGGTCTCAAAACCAAAAAGCAATATGAGCCGCTGATAGAGTCAATCAGATGGCTGAAAATTGTGGGATTCGCAGCTACAGTACGAACTACAGTACCAGTGAACGTACCACTGATTTCTAGAACCATCACTATATACCAATGTAGGAAAAGTTTCACTTGCCTAAGGTTATCCATTCATGCATGTAACTGGTCAAGGTACATACACCGGCAGAGTGTCCGCAACGCGCACACTAATTGCGTCAGGGAGAAGTTGGAAGTTTTCAAGAAGTTTCAAAGTAAGCTTAGTACGAGATACTGATACTAAGAATGGCTACAATAATGAACTCGATGAGGCTTTACGTGCGAAGGTACCATGTTTGAAGGGAGCAAGCCGTGTATCCATGAATTGAAATTTGTATACATATTCAAATGACATGCAGAGCATGTACAATTTACTAGTTAGAGATAATGTATGGGAGAAAAATCAGAGATGTCTACAACCTTGGACTCAGTCATGTCCATAGCTCCACTCTGTTTCTGCAGGTCCTCGTCGTGCTCATGCTGCTCGCAATCCTTGGTTCGTGTTTGCTGTGGTCTGCGGCGTGTACTAGCTTGGGCTTCCTCTTCTTTATGTTTTGAGCTAGTATACTGCATTGAGTTGAAAGCTTTCTAGGGTGCTCCCTTGTATCGTTCGCCCGATATGCTTGATGTTGTGTTGTCGGGCTCATTGCGAGCCTTCGTTCTAAAAAAAATGCATGGGAAAAAAAAATCAGAGATGTGAGAAAAAATCAAAGAGGAGAAAGAAAGAATGGAACGTATATAAGGAAGGTTGGACGAAAGAGAGGTGAAATGGGAACTTTACATTCTTTTTAAGTAGTAGAGATTTCTAGCTTTGTCGACCATTCACACAGGGAGCTACTTTTTTTTTACTTGTTTTGTTTCTTCTTTTCTTTTTTTTCTCTAAAAATTTTCTTGAAAAATAAAAATATTTAATTTTCTAGAAAAATGTTTTAGAAAAAAAGAGTTTTTAAAAAGTGTCACATAGTTCCAGAAAAATAAAAAATGTTCATGTTCAGATTAAAAAATCCATAATCATTTCAAAAGTCGTGTTCTTTAAAAATGTTTTTAATTAGCTTTTAAAAATAAAAAATAGAAAACCAAACAAAAGCGCAACTAAAAAACCGGCTATAAACAGTAATAAGGAATATATCGTTCCCTTTCGTCAGAGTCGCTGCAGTCCCAATGCGAAAGGGAAAATCTTGTTCTTGGCACTCTAGATTTTACCAATTATTGTTATGTTACTCTAGATTTTGACATTTCACTGGTGCCACTCTTAGCTTTTGACAATGATCACAATTGCCATTCCATGGCAAAAGTAAAATAATTTTATTTCATTGATCGGGAAGCAACAGCAAGCCACTAGGACATGCGGCTGTCATGAGAATCACAAATGCGGTAGCCAATATGATCTGTGAAAGCATCATGGCATGCTTCACTGTCTTCTCCGTTGCTGTTGTTCACTCTGCGCCTCGGATGCCATACATTCATCTGTTCAAGTGGCAAACTCACGAGCTAGTTACAATTATCCCCAAGAAGGCTTAGTTCTACCCCCTCTGTCCTATAATATAAGAACGTTTTTTACACTAGTGTAGTGTCAAAAACGTTCTTATATTATAGGACGGAGGGAGTAGTTAGCATGGGTCCTGAATCAAAAGTCAGAACCGATTAGATCAGTCATAAGACTTCTCGAATCAAGGAGCATCGCACCCAGTTTTCATCTCTGAAAACTGATAAAACAACAGACAAGCCGGCCTCACGTTCAGTTCCTGTCACGAACCCACAAGAAAACCAGTCTCGACGACAGCCACTCGGGGGGTAATCGTAATCGGAACTAACGCAGCAGCAAACTCCAGCTACCAAAGCCAGCAAAAAACAGCAGAGCTTATCACTACCAGACAGTAGCAGTAACTCAGAAACATCAAAACAAGACTAATCGGGAACTTTCATCTCGGCGTAGCTCCTCCTTGTTCTTTTTCCCATCCTTTTTGCTGGTGTCTTGTCGATCCTTCTACATCCGCGCCCAACCTCGACGTCTGCTAAAAAAAAAACCAGCTGCCACTTTCAACCAAGCAAACACATTTATCCTCCTCTTCCCCCAGCTCAAAATCTACAAAGAAATTATGTAATTCCTGCCAGATGATAACAGTTAGCTCCCCCACCAAGTCGCGATCTGAAATTTAAACATTCCCAACCCACCTCAAATACAGTTGAAACTGACATTCTTCCTGAAGGTTAGATTATAGAGGCGATTGAATTTTTACAAAGCACAATACCTCCAAACCATCCTCCCAGAAATGTGTTCTTTGACCATTACCAACTTTGATTTCTATCATTACATAGGTTCACTCTCCTTGGAAAACAAATTACAATAGTTAGAAACTCCAAGAACTAGATGGTGCTGGTCAACAGTCATTTTATTTCAAGAAGGTTCAAAAACGGAATCAAGAGTTCATTTCCCCCTATAGTATGCAAAACTGAAACTATACATTCACTTATGTTATACACACAAGCTTTACAATTCAAGAGGAAAAAAGACTGTCTATAAATCATGGTTGCAAAGAGTATGGAATTAGAAGTACAGGGAAACACACACGAGGTACTTTCATCCGGTACTGCTATCATGTCAATCTTGGTGTTTGAAGCCATTCTGTGGTGGCAATGGTGGTTGTTCCTGCAAGTCCTGCTGCTCCTGTGGTTGTAAAGGTGGGTGCAACTGATCCTGTCCCTCTTGCTGTTGCAATGGTGGTTGCAACTCATCATGTGGCTGCTGTGTTGGCGACCGTGACTGATGTTGCTCCCCTTGCAGAATCGGCTCTGACCGATGGTGCTGATCACCTTGCCATACCCATACAATATCCTTGAGTGCTGGCCTTACTTCCTCTTTCACCAGCTTTTGATACTCCATAGTGTCTCCATTAGTCTTTTTCAACTCAACTAGGAGAAAAGAAGGGGCTACCTCGAAAATCTCGGCATCAAGCTCGAGAAACCCCTTCTTTCCTTCCTTTGGAGCAGCCAACTTCAGGACTCCATTTTCTTTCTTCTTAATTTTTAGCTTCAAGCGTTTGGCCAGTTCCTTCAACTTTGTAAGTACTATTGTTACAGGCTGCCTAGTGGTAAACCGTTCTTCCCTGCGACCATACTCATCCTCAAAAAACCCAGATAGATTGAACCCTGTTGACAGAGAGATGATGTCAAATGCATTCAGGTTTGGGAGGCTTAATGACCCTTGATTTCCCTCAGAAGTGCTGCATCCTGTCGAGCCTGGCGACGCAGCTTCAGCTGAAAAGGTGTTGTGCTTTGCTTCAGGCTCGGTTTTCTTTGCATTTACCTCAACTGGTCTTCTGTACCAAGCACTTCTCTTTATCCTAGAGATTGTAATCCTAGTACTGGGATCTGGATCAAGGATTTTATGTAATAGCTCCTTCAGCTCAGCGGAAAAATACCGAGGGCATTTGAAGTCCGCTTTGGAAATCCTTCTGTACATCTCTATCAGATTTGCCTCATGAAAAGGAAGGTAACCAGCCACAAGCACAAACAGAATTACTCCACTGGACCATACATCTGCTTTTGCACCATCATAGCCTTTCCTGCTAAGCACTTCAGGGGCAACATAAGCTGGAGTTCCACATGTGGTGTGCAGGAGACCATCCTGCCTCGCGCAATCAGCCAGGGCACTCAAACCAAAATCTGAGACTTTTAGGTTTTCATTCTCATCCAGGAGTAGATTTTCAGGCTTCAGATCACGGTGATAAACACCCCTGCTGTGGCAATAGTCAATAGCACTGATCAATTGGTGGAAATACCTCCTAGCAGCATCCTCATTAAGCTTCCCCTCCTTTACTATTTTGTTGAAAAGCTCACCACCTTTAGCATACTCCAATACAAAATAAATCTTGCTCTTGGTAGCCATTACCTCAAAAAGCTGCAGGACATTTGGGTGCTTCACCAATCTCATTACTGAAATCTCCCTCTTTATCTGCTCGATAAGTCCAACCTTGGTAACCTTATCTTTATTGATCATCTTTATAGCAACAGCTTGGCCAGTTGCAAGATTTCGGGCATAATACACCTTCGCAAAAGTTCCTTGTCCCAATTGCTTCCCGATTTCATAACGGCCCATCAAGATAGTCCTCCTCTCATCCATCATATCAAGCTATCTGAACGGAGTAAAACAAACGAACACCACACACACCGCTTATATAGCAGTATCTAGACTGTATACCTCATGAATGGAGCAGATGTCAACTGTCTTCACAAATGTGATTATCAACAAATACTGACCCCTTCGGTATACTGTGCTTCACACCACAGAGAGGAGGAACAGTACCAGTATGCAGCACATTATCATGAGAGCCCCACAGCATGAGCTTGAACGAAGCTCTGATCTTGTTTGCACAAAGTAAGTGTTTGCTGTTACGCCAGCACATCTTTCTGCATTCCCAAGTCTTCTTCCGGTGAACAACTGCCAGCCAGAAGATCAGATTAAATCATAACGGATACATGTAATGCAGGGTGGGATTACGAGCTCTAATGAAAAAACACAAATTCTGTGGCCTTTGTGGACATTAAGGCAAAATCTTGGGTGACACCCCAATGTTGTCTATCAAACTGAGATGGTACAGAACAAACAAGAGCATCCGCCAAAGCTGGATAACTGGGTGAAGCAAAGATGCCATCTCTTGAACTCTAGAAACGATTATTTCGACAATTCTAACTCAAAAACCGACCATTCCTGCAACAGGCATCCAAAATCGGCAAAATTCACGCCCAGGACGGGGCTAAACAGAGCGCTGCCAGCAAGTAGATCTCTTCCTGTCGGAAGAACAGTACCTGATCAAGAACGGGAGAAGGAAGCGCCGCGAATCCCACGGGACGCCATAGAAATCGACCGGGATCGATCCCGTGAAGCAGGCGGGCGCCGATTTGGTGCGCGTTTGGCCGCCTTGCAAGCTTGCTGTTGGTGGATTCTGGGATTTCCTGGCTGTAGGTGCCGCGCTCTCATACTCTTCCTCCTCTGGGATGGCGCTTAGCCTTTTGTGGCTAGATCCCTCGGAATCTTCTAATTTCGGTCTTAGCGATGATTGTAGCCCGGCGGCGGCGCGCTTCTCCAGAATGGAGGGAGTGCAGCAGGTTTGGCAGCCGTTTACGCTGCCGTGTTGACGATGCGGGCCTTTTTCTCATTTTGCACCTAACCTTTTGGGATTTCACTGCATTGGACGTTTGGTGAGGATCTACTTTTTTTTTGAGGGGGGATGAGGATCTACTAGGGGACGAACGAATCATACTCTGGGCTGCCCAGGTTTTGGGCTAGGCTTTGGAAAGCCCAGTATGAAAACACCAAGCCCGAACCTGGCCCGAAGTACTTGAACAATGCTTTATTTATTTAATTTGATTCACCACAAAAAATTATTTAATTTGATCTCTTGGCTATTATTAAAAATACCTATATATTTTTAAAAAATTAGTCAGGAGTGTCGTCCCCTATGAGGGCATTTTCCCTGGGTGTGGAAGCGCTTCAAGTGTTGCGTCCCAATTTCGTCATATGTCGCATGTGGACGCACCTCCACACACGAGCCTGTTTTTTTAGGTTTTGTTTGATTTTTTTCTATAAAATAAATAGATTTTGGGGATTTGCTCATTTTTCCGAGCTGTCTCAATTTTTTTAGGGTTTTTTGGGATTTCTCTTACCTTTTATTTTCTCGGGTTTTCCTGTTTTTAGAGCACATGTAGGTTGCAGTGGAGGAGTGTATATTAATTCGCGTTTGTTCATGTAGGAAGCACAATAGTGTGCTAGTTTGGAGCACATACACATAGGAAGCACGCGTTGGTGCAAGTTTGGAGCAAAGTTTAATTCACATAGGGAGCCCGGGTTAGTGTCATTTGGGAGCATAGATTAGTTCACGTAAGAAGCACAGGTCAATGCTAGTTGAGACTTGAGAGCACATGCACGTGAGAAGTACATGTTGCTCCTACTTATAGGTTAGTTCACTTAGAGAGCACATATTAGTGTTGGTTTGGAGCATATATTGGAGGCATGCAGATTAGTGCTAGTTGGAAGGACGCGGCATTTCGGCTCTTGGGTGCATCTGCACCCAAGGGTAAACAGTAACATAAGAAACTACTAGAAAAAATAATGAAAGATATTCGAGTGCGTGATGTCCGTGTCAAATTTCATCATGTTTGGATATATACTCAATTTTTTTTCTTTTTTACTAAGAGCTGCTCAGATGTTCCAAACATGACAAAATTTGACATGGACATTATGCACTCAAACATCTTTCATGAAAAAAAAAACAATTTTTCTGGACTTTTCTAGTGTTTTTTACTTTACAGTTCACCAGGAGCATATGAGCCTGAGCTCAGAAATGAATATTCATAGTTGGAACTACAGCTTGGGGGGCACATATTAGTAATAGTAGGGAGAACTGTTATTTCAGTTAGGAGCACATGTTAGTGTAGTTGGGAGCACAAATTTTGCCTAAAAAAGTTTGATGAAAGCTATCAACATGGTATCTAGTTTCGAAGATGTCAACGTAAAAAACACAATAGTGAAAACGGTTCGTAATTTAGACGTGTGGTTTGAGAAAAAGATGTTTAAAAAAGTGGATCTACAAAAACACACGAACAAACCCACTCATCCGTCTCCTCCTGTAGGGGGTATCCCACCAAAAATTTTGGATGTCGACAAGTGGCGCACTTGCGGTGTACAACTTGTCGCCACCAGCAGAGATGAGAAGTGACCTTTGTAAAGTGTACCCCTTAACTAGTGATTTTGTAAATAAAACATAATTTTAGAACATTTTGGGTTGGGCTCCGGATGGAAAAGTGGATCCCAAGAACTAGCTCAGATGACGTGCTTTTGGACCCCATATTACCCGTGCTCAAGTTTACATCCAATGGCTAGCTATTGAGGTTGTGTCTAAACTTGTGTTTCATGAAAGAATATGATATTTGTTGTACACTTCAGTGTGTCTTTGAATCACCATAACTGACATTGCATGTACTCTCCACGACATAGTACACATAAAAACGTGTCAACATCTTCCATCCATGCCTCTCCAACATGGGAAACTAAGGGTCTTCAGAACCAAAAGCCTAAATGCCCATCAATGACCCTACTTGTCGACGATGTAGTGGGCCTATTGTCAAAGCAAGAACATGGCATAGGGTGAAGCGATCAAGTGAATGTGGTCGGTGATGCACTTATTAATGACCCGATTGTTCTCCTTCTCTATGGCTCGAAGGTGCCATTCTTGCAACTTGGTGGCGCCTCCTCTATCGACTGATCTGCCATCGTTGGTGTTTTGGCATAACACGATATCCCAGAGATTTCACAGGTGGCTTTGTCCCCATCAACATGACACACACACACACACACACACACACGTGTTAGGCCCTATGACATATTCATTGGCAGGAGAAGATAATGTTGGGGATTGAAAGAAATCAAAAAAATCTTGCACCAATGCAGTTGATCATTAGATTAAGAGGAAGACCTTATAATCGATATAAATGCAAGGAATAGGGTTGTCATGCAACAAGGATGCACATAGATTTATGTATGAATGAAAGTTCTCTTATGGACTAGTGGGGGTCCATAAACTTGCTTCTCATGAAGACCTAGAGTTCATTTGAGGAGGCTCATCATTGGAATATTCTAGGATTGATAATTATGTCTATAGGAGGGTTAATAGACTACTAATCACAATAATGGCCTCTTTTCCAAAGTTTAGATTTTTGGCAGAATTTAGGCTTTTCCAGCAATCTATAGAACGCCCTACACATGGAAGTCTAGAAAAATAGGTAGTGGAAAGTAAAGACATGCAAGTGAAAGTAAAGGAGTAGAGTTTAGAGAATCGCAAGCACAATTGGCTTGGTGAAGATTTTTCCCTATGGTTAAGATAGTTGGCAATATCTTACATCCAAGTTGATGGAGGCTATGTTCAACGAAGGGTCTAAGATCACAAGGATCTCGATTGCAAGATTCCTAATGGCCCACAAAAGGACACTCAACCACGAAGGGTCCACAAAGAAGCAACCACACCCATTCCACATGTCTTGCGCCCATGAAGGACTATACTCACTAGGGTTGATCTTCACAAAGTAGGCGAGCTCTAAGTCCGTACAAACTTCTTGGATTCTTCACAAACCTAAAGACTTCCAAGCACACCTAGCAGATCCAGGAGGCGCACATCCTCCAAAAGTAACAAGATATAGGTTGCTTGACAATGAACCCCTTACTCTTGTGCTTTAAAAGTTAATCTCCTCAACACTCAAACTCTCTCAAGATCTGGCTATGGATTTGGAGAAGGTAGAAATGGTGGGAAAGAGGGGATTGGATCTCAAAGGGCTTGATTGGATGGTTGGAGTGGGTTGCCCTTTGAAATTAGCACAAGGAGGTGGAGTTCTCTCTCGGAAAAAATGAAGAGAGTGGAGTTTGCTTCGAGTACTAGTGGGATAGGTGGGTTATATATAGGCAAGACAAAAAATCTACTCGTTACACACCTTTATACACACTTCGGAGGCTCTGGCTGGTTTTGCTCGGTGGATCTAAAGTGAACAAAAATGTCATCTTTTAGATGCATTGGTAGGTCTGAATGGTTTCAATTGGTGGCTTTGAGATGACTACCTTGGCACTAGTACACTTACTGTTGGCACTTCAGAAGTTTCAACTGGTTTTGCTCGGAAGTTCTGACATGAAAACACAAGGTTTGCCATGTTGCTTCTGTGGCTCCGACTGGAATGTTGGAGCTCCGGTTGAACATGGGTTTGGAAATCTAACTATATTTGGATGTTTCGGTGGTTCCAAGTGGAAGTGCTTTGGTAACACCGAATGGAATTGAGCTAGGTACATATAGTGGAAATATTAAAGGATCTTGAGGAGTTTTGGAGTTTGATCTTTATACATGGAGCAAAAGGCTCATTTCGCATTCTTGTGCCCTTTTGATAGTATCGCATGCCTATGGACTCGATGTGATCTTGGATCACTAAAATGAAGATGTAGAATCCTTTGACCTGTCCAACACTTGTCTTTATGCCATTTTAGGGGTCACCTTCCATTCAATGTTGTACCTAAAAGAACTTCTCCTAAAATATACTTTGAAGCACCATTAATTCTTTGAGATGTGTTCGCATGAATTACCAAAA